GGAGTGGGATAAAATTGTGCCAAATGTTTTAGCGACCAGGATATGAGTGGTTGCAGAAGACTGGGATTCAGAGACCATTCAGTGGTCGCTTGAGTGGGTATCATACGCGAAATTTTTTTTGTTCTTTTTCTGCACTACCTTTACCAACCAATCAAATGTATGGTCCCTAATTCACTAAAACAACTACCATAATTTGGTCGCAATAGAACATCACAAAATTAGTCCAATTTTACTAGACCAAAACCTATACCCACCATTAGTTGGTTGCCGAAAGTGTTTTATAGCAACCATGTTTTACTGGTTGCTAAACCTTTGGTCGGTGGAGCCTATTCTTTTTTGTAGTGCTATAAAGGTACTATAAAAGATGGATTTCTCACAATCAATATGCACAACTTTCACACTCTCTCCCCGTGATACCCTTTGTACATTCTTCTTGATGAACGCTTGGGTTCCCTGACTGTTGTGAAATCATTATAGATGTAGTAACTTGTGTAGATTATTCTAGGTTTGAGGGTGTTTGTGATTAAAGCAAATTATGGGTTAGGGTTCCTCTGATTGTTGAACCAATTTGTGAGAGTAAAGGAGAGATCTGGCTCTCCTTAGTGGTGTCTTGTTGTAAACTTCATCTATATGCCATTGTTGGTTGATTTTAGTGCAACAAAGATTGATCTATCTTTTGTAGAGCCTCATATGAAGTATGTACTGATTGATAAGTGTATCTTTTACACTTGTTCAGGGCCTTAATGTAGGAAATTAGTTTAAAATTGAAGAAAAATTAGTTAACAGTTAACAACAAAAATGTCAAAAAAGTGACTTTCGTTCAATTTCGACCAAATATTCGGAGTTAATTCGATGGTCAAATTATAAATGTAAATAGACTAACTTGTTATACTCGTCAAGTAGATCATCATGGTATATTTGAAATCTCGAAATCAATTCTTGATGATTGAGAAACGAAGATCCAAATTTGGAAGAAAAATAAAGGAAAAACTGGCTTGGATTTTTGCCTAACTTTGTCGCTCGCTTATCGAGGGATAGATAAGCCTGTCACTTGAGCGATAGGATAGCGACTGGGGATGAAAAAGGTTCGGTTAAAATTTTGAAATTGGCGCTCAAGCAAGATGTTAGCAACAGGCTAGCGACAACAAGTGAAACTTCTGTTCGTAAAGTTGCGAGGCTTGGTACGCATCACTTTACCCACAACCTCTCATTCTCTATATATAGGACCTCTTAGGAGTCCATAATGCATCCATATCACTTTTTCTTTGAGCATTGCATAAAATCTCTTGCAATAACTATTCAAAAAATCATTCCATATCTTTTTCCTTGTAGAGATGATAAATTCCGTTCGAGTTCGCTGTTGTTTATAGTTTGAAGTGCTTCTACCATTTTATCTTAGAGACATGTGCTGTGAATCGTTAGCACTGTTGTAGGGCAATTTTATCTTAAAGAGAAGTATAATCACTTGCCTCGTATCATTTTCCACCTTCATTTTACTTCATTACTTCTTGTTTTTACTTCCATAAAGTTTAATTACGCTCATGTGATTTAAACCTTTTTACTTCGTCTTCATTTGTCCATCACATAACAACACTTTCATCACCATCAGATATTTTGGCATGACATTTAAACAGCGATATTTAATTGCTCCTCTAATGAAATATAATCTAAATTGTTGTATTTTGTGTTAAACGAGTAAAGTTCAATAGTTGAACAAAGAATTGAAAGAACTAAAAGAGAAAGCCAGAGAAAGAGTGAAATCCAAAAGATGGGACCAACTTGCAACAATCTAATAATCGGACCACAAATTGGAGATTGAAGATGCTGGGCGTTCAATAGGATCACTTGAAAGTTAAAAGGGCTCAACATAGGTTAAAAAGGGAGAAAAAGACATCGCATGGAAGTACGAGGACGAAGTGCACAAAATAGAAAGCATGTAGAACTATGAGGTCGCATAGTTCAAATTTTCGTCCAAATCTCAAGTTTCCTTATACGATTAAGATTCAACTTGACAAGGTTTTGAGCGATATCTTTGACCTAGATTTGAGCTATATAAGCACCAGAACGTCCTATACCATTAGAGCCTTGTTTGGGCCATATTCTTTCACAAAATACATTATTAAACAGCGATTTGACATCATTTGAATTACACATTCTTCAATAAAATAATATGATAAGCAAATCCAAAAATTTTTCTTATTTTTAATCATACATTTCTCATCAATACATTGTTAAAAATGCATTCATATAAAAATAATGTGGCTCAAACAAGGCTAGAGAGCCTCTTTTATGCAACAAAACAACTCAAGAACTTGAAGATTGTGAGAGAATTATATTGAAGAAGAGGGCAAAAGTCAAATTTGTGAGAAATTTCAATCAAGGAATTGCAAGAAGATTATGAAGGAGACTTCATACCAGGAAATTTGGACAAGGATTGGGAAGGAAATTCAAGAGCTATCAAGAATCCATCGTTTCTCTCTGATTATTCAATTTTTGGGCGATGCGTTTTAATGATTTCTCGTAATTTCAACATATTAGGCTAGATTTTTACATTGTTAGGATGAGATAGACTTTAGTTATGAGATTTTTTACATTGATTAATTATTTTGACGTCAAGTATGTAGGTTTTCTTGGATATTTATTATTGTTTTTACTGACCTCTCAATTAATTAGCTACTAATTGAGATGATTTATTGGAATCTATTGTTATCGAGAGAGACAATAGGTTGTTAGCTGAAAATAATAAACATTGTAAAGTCCGATAGAGAATAGAAATATACATTTATGCTTTATATGGTTTCCATGGGTGTTCTAAACCATTTAATATATTTATCATGTTCGCATATTTTATCGAAAGATAGGAAGGTCATATGAGGGTAATAAATTTGATAACTATCAAGAGAAGTTTTCAATTAAATTAGGAACATTGTCTAACAAGAATGACTACAAACTATCACTTTAATTTGTTTTGCTAAAAATGAATTAACAAGGGGGATTCGATATCTTAGCAATACTTTCACATGTTTGGTAAAAAAAAAAAAAAACCTGTTAAATCACTTTCTAGTTTAATTGATAGTTTAGATATTAGTATGGAAAACTTAACATCTGTTTGTTATTAGTTTAGTGTTGCTATTAATTTGAACTCAATTAAATACTCAGTCCTCTTGGGTACGATACTATACACACTACTTTATTATTTGTTCGCGATCTCGTTTACTTGCAAAAAATCAAATGATAACTGGTGAACATCTTGCCCCCTTTAAAAGGGTTAATATACCTAGTGTTCCTTGTTGATTTCTATTGGTTTGGTTTCTCGGTATGATTGAAGAAAAAAATTACAAGTGACTAGAGGCAATAGTATAGAAAATTAGAGTTTAAAGTCCAAGAACAAGATACCGGAAGAATGCGAATATCACCTTTGAGAATTTAAATTCGAAATTTGATGTATTAACAAAACATTTTTAATTAGAAAAATTAAATGTGGTTATTTTCAATTTGGTGGTTACAATTGGACTATTTTGAAAATTCACCAATTATTTTCAACCTCACAATTAATTAGGAAAGGAAAATAATAATAATAGCACCACAATTTATGTTTCTTGCATCACGTACTAAAATGAAGGTCCTTTAATATTTGCTTGTTATCACATTTATGTTTTTAACTTTTTAATTACATTCTTATTCCCATCCTTTAAATAATAAGCATATTTTGTCCTTGATGATAATTTTCGTCCAAAAAATCTGTTAGGAGCATACGTTTTACCCTTATACATTTAAATAAACAAAAAAGATGACCAATAAAAAACTTAAACAAAATATTTGCCGCTCATATCAAACCATGCTAATATAATATATTGGGATATAAATCATCATCAAGGACAAGTGTACTAAATAATTGAAGCTCAACAAAAAAATTACAATAAAAAAAGTTAAGTATCTAAGTGCAACAAGAAGCAAAAATTGAAATCCTCGTAGCAATTAAGATAGGAAAAATTGCAGTCGAAGTACCAAACATTTCGTTTATTAGCTGACTTTGCCTAAACTTTTCATTTGTGTCACCCACGGTACCAAACCTTTCAAAAATTCTCATTTGAAGTCCAACTAGATGATTTCCGTTAATTTGATCGTTAGTTGACCATAAGTCCATGGTCTGACCACATGTTGACTAATGAGCAGAGCCATGCACAGTCTAGTGCAGGCAAATGCCAGCACTGGACTTTTGGCCCAAGCCCATGGTCAATTTTTTTTTTTTTTTTTTTTTTTTGGTATGATTTTCATTTATTTAAAGTCCATCCAAGTGCACGGTGACATTTTCTGACTCTCTTCCCTCAACAAGAAATTAAAAAAATTTCTTTATATCTGCTCTCATTTTGAAATATTTTCAAAGTTCATTTCTTTCCTAAAACCCACATGTTTTTGGGCCCTCAAATTTGCAGCAAAAATTTTCTTGATCATGTGATTTTTCTTTTTAATATTAAGGATTTTGATTATGTGAATGTTGAATATTGATAATATTTGTGATCGATTCTTGAAATTTTGATTATTGTCAATTATTTAAACAATTAGTAATGACTTTATGGTGTTCTACCAATTTGTAAAAATTAGTAGTTCTTTTCTTATCAATTAGTACTTAATTGTCACTTGTCGTTTATTTTAGTGTGAAGTGTCAATGTAGAGTTCTTTAAAAGAAAATATTTCGTAGAAAATGTTGATGTGAAGATATCGAATAAAATGAATTTTGATGTTGCACAACTTGCTATAGATCCTAGAATAAGGAAGAAGATAATTATCTTATTAGTATTGTCGTTATGTTATTTTTAGCATTATCATAATATTATTAAATCCATAATCGAAAAGTTCGACTTTGATTAAATTTTGCCTGCACTAGACAAAATTTCTGGCTCCGCCCCTGGTCCCCTACCAAGGACATGTTTGCAACTGGTAAAATTCTAAGTGGGAAAACCAAAGTCAATAATAATTAATAACATCATAGAAATTTCTTAGTTGAAGAAACTAGAAAACAGATGAGCAAAGAAATGCAGAGACACAGATGACAGACTTCTCTCTCTTTCTAAAAATACAGAGAAACCCTATATGCAGACATGCAAAACGCAGGGTTTCAACTTCTTTTCTTGATCGCAGTTTTTCTTTTTGGTTATTCTTCTAGTCTCAAGGTCTGTGTTCATTTCAACGCATTAGAACAGAACGACGAAAAAGGAAAGGAATTTATAGCCTCCATTTTCGATTTGCTTTCCTTTTGTTTAAATCATCCTTTTGTTTACATTCAACAGATTGGAGAAACATGTTCTACTATGAACAACAACTCATGTGATGCCGGATTACACTGTGGAACTTGCCCTGCAAATGGAAACACCCGACCCAGATGTACTCGGATTCAACCCGTAGTTCCCACTGCAAAGGTATTTATTATTTTTTCCAATATTATCCATTTCTTCGTTGGATTACAGCTTCATTTTTATGGGTTTTTCTTTTCTTTATTTATTTATTTTTGGATATATGGAAAAGGTAAATGGTCTGCCGTTTAATAAGTATTCATGGCTGACTACCCACAACTCGTTTGCTCGGACTGCGTCAATGTCCGGGACCGGGTCAACTCTTTTGGCTCCGACCAATCAAGAAGATTCCGTCACTGATCAACTCAATGTAAGTTTATTTATTCACGTAATCAAGTCCATTATTTCAATGTTAATCATCTCGTCTAGAAACTCAAATTTATCACCCCTGTTTGGGTGAGAATTAAAATAAGATTTTTAATAAAATTTAATAAAAGTTAATGAATTGTATGGTTGAAAAATTGTAGATTTCATAAAATAAGTTATTAAAATTCATTGTTGTCTTTGCCGTAAATTAAAATCTAAATTAAAATATCTATCAAAGAAGGGGCTAAAAAGGTACTACAACTATTCATTTATATGTTAGGGGGTGCTTTTAAATGAGATTTTGATGGATTCTTTAAAAAAATAAAATAAAAAATAGTAATAATAATAAATAAATTTCTAAATTCAAGTTTGAGATTTTAGTGATTTTAATTATATAAGGGGCTTTAATGAAATCCATTAAAATTTAGGTGTCCTCAATTATTCATGAATTTATATAAATTTCATTAACATGAGGATTTTAAATGATTTGGATGGATTTCAAACTTTAAAATACACATAACAAATTATTTTCAAAATTTACTATTTTAAATGAGATTTTTATGAATATTGTAAAAATTCATTTAAATCCATGAAATTCATTAGAATTTATAATCTTTTAAAATCCATCAAAATCTCAGTCAACACTCAAACATTGAGCATTGCCTGGGCTATCAATAATTTAATATTTGTATGTGAGTATTATTATATGCTTTTCAGCTGTCTGGAGCAGTTTGTCTTTGAAGGGAATATAAATTATTTGATCGTTGGTTAGGTTGGAATTGCAACTTTAAAAATAAGCATATTATCTCACCTGCCTGTCTCACCTACATGGTCCACATGCAAATTTGTTGTAATGTCGGAAAATAATTGTCAATATACATAAATTATGGTCCATGTTCGATGAAGCTAAAAATTGATAAGAGTTGTGAATCTTATGAAATGTATGATTAAAATTAATGATCAGATCTGACTTAATTTTTTATCAAATGTTTAACTTTCACCAAACAAGAGCATGATATTTTGACAAGTTGATATAGTGAAGCACAATTCACACCATTTACTTAGCCCATGTTTGATTCGAAGAATTTTTTTTTTAAAAACATGAGTTTTGGGATCGTGATTTTTTCATACCATCACATATATATATATATATATATATATATATATATATATATATATGAAAACAACTTTGGTATGTTGGTATGGATGTGTTATTTTGTGAAAAGAAACAACTTTCGTAGCTGTAAAGTTCAGAGTCTTGAATTTCGGTGAGCATTTCGCTCAAGAGCGAAAAATGACTCCACTATATGTTAGCTTGTATCCAAACACGTAACCTTTTTTCGAATTGGTGGAAATTAGGACATGGAGTTTGCAATTTTATATTTTCGAGCCGTTAGGAAAACGTGAAGCATCTAGTCAGTCATTGTAATTGCAATTGGGCTATGTTACCTAATTTAAAGGTCAGAAATTTTTGGTTCTTCCAACTTACTTTTCACATAAAATCCAGTTTTAATTTTGCCGGTAGTGTGAGACCATGGAAACAGTGCATCTTTAGGTTCAAATTATCACTTCAGTGTATCACCCGTCGAAATTAGCGTGATTTTTTCATACCATCACATATATATATATATATATATATATATATATATATATATATATATATATATATGAAAACAACTTTGGTATGCACGAGTGGATGTGTTATTTTGTGAAAAGAAACAACTTTCGTAGCTGTAAAGTTCAGAGTCTTGAATTTCGGTGAGCATTTCGCTCAAGAGCGAAAAATGACTCCACTATATGTTAGCTTGTATCCAAACACGTAACCTTTTTTCGAATTGGTGGAAATTAGGACATGGAGTTTGCAATTTTATATTTTCGAGCCGTTAGGAAAACGTGAAGCATCTAGTCAGTCATTGTAATTGCAATTGGGCTATGTTACCTAATTTAAAGGTCAGAAATTTTTGGTTCTTCCAACTTACTTTTCACATAAAATCCAGTTTTAATTTTGCTGAATTCACATTTAGTGGTGAGACCATGGAAACAGTGCATCTTTAGGTTCAAATTATCACTTCAGTGTATCACCCGTCGAAATTTAATATCAAGGGATAAAATTTCATATCGAATAAAGATGAAAACATAGATTAATTTATAAAAATTTAAAATGTCAACCTTATTAAAAAGAGTAGTCCAAACCTTTATAAATTAGTTTATGTTTTCATTTTTATCCCATAATATTTAAGAGTGGACTTTCCAGTCATATAAATGAGTGGGCATATATGAGTTAGTTGGCTTCCCTTTCTTTCATGATAAGTCTCTAAGATAGAATGAAATGGTTCCACCTGAGTGGATTGAGGAAATATTCCACGAATAAGTCAAATCAGTGACATACATCTCACGTGAACAACACCAACCAAAGAGTCCCGTAATCCAAAAAGATTCTCAGGAAGGGGAAGCGGGCAGGTCCTGAATTGTGTAGCCGTTTCATGACAATCATCTCTAGTTTCTTTAAACGATAATTTTGCACAATAGTTAAAATGTTTATTCAACTTGTGAACATAAGTAATACAATCCAACAATCATAGAGAGAGGGAAAAAAAAAAAAAAAAAAAAACGGGGGTTGATAGATTTGAATTTTTTGCAAAACTGAATTGAAAAATACATCTAACTAATAATAAATATATTCCTTGGTAGAATGGTGTTCGAGGGCTTATGCTTGACATGTATGACTTCAACGGGGACATTTGGTTGTGTCATTCATTTGGTGGAAGGTGTCTCAATATCACAGCTTTTGTAAGTATTTCAATGCCTTCATATTTTTATATATGTGTTTTACTCTTTCTCATATAAAAGCTGATCATGTTTAAGATATTCTTTTAATCTTCCAGCAACCTGCAATTAACGTACTGAAAGAAATTCAAGTTTTTCTGGAACAAAATCCCACAGAAATTGTCACCATTTTCATCGAAGACTATGTGACATCTCCACAAGGATTGACAAAAGTGTTCAATGCATCTGGACTCAGCAACTACTGGTTTCCAGTGTCTAAAATGCCTAAAAATGGTCGAGATTGGCCAACAGTTGACGATATGGTCCGAAATAATCAACGCCTCGTCGTCTTCACCTCAAAATCATCTAAGGAGGCTTCTGAAGGGATTGCTTATGAATGGCGATACGTGGTTGAAAATCAGTGTAAGTTATATTACGTTCAACCACCACATCTAAAAGTTTAAGCGATTCAGAGCGTATCGATATTGTAAATTCATTTCTTGGAAACCTTATTTCAAATATTGACAAAATGTTCAATTTGCAGATGGAAACGGTGGAATGGTACCTGGTTCTTGTCCAAGTCGTTCAGAGTCATCTCCCATGAACACATCATCAATTTCACTTGTTCTTCAGAATTACTTTCCAGGAAATCCCAATATAACAAATGCTTGTGCAGACAATTCTGCTCCTCTAACTAGTATGATGACAACTTGTTACGAAGCAGCCGGAAGGCGCTGGCCGAATTTCATAGCAGTCGACTTTTATCAGGTGTTGACCGATGAAATCTCCCCATTGGTTCGACAAAATATAAATTTTTTTCCCTAAAATTGCTTTACCAAAAAAAGAGATTTTGTATTGCAGAGAAGTGATGGAGGAGGAGCCCCAGAAGCTGTTGATGAAGCAAATGGACATATGACTTGTGGTTGTGACAGCATTTCCTATTGCAAGGTTTGGTACTAATATTGTCATATGTACTGCAATTAGCAAAATACTAACAAATTAAAATTAATCCTAGCTAGAACAACATAGGATTTGTCAAATCACTCTTTTTATTTTGAGAGATGCTAAGTGTACATAAAGATTGGTACATCATGGTGTCTTCCATCTCATATGGGGTGGGTTCCATCCGAATAAAATATTCAGGTGAGCCCCATCCCATGTGAGATAAACGATACCTTTATGGACCAATTTTTATGTACAACTATCTTTATAATTTTATTTTTTAACTTTTTTCAATTCATGTTCTTCAAATCTTTTGAGAATCATGCTATATGTACAAAATTTTTTTTCAAAATTTCTTACTCACAATAAGGATGAAGACCACAAGCCGACATTTTTTAAATTCACACGGGACCCGCTTTTTTGTGAGAGTGCATAACACATTTTGTATAAATGTGTTTGTACACGTCTCTTTATCCATCTTTTAATAGACCTAGCCGACCTCAAATTTATTGAAAAAATATTTTTTTTTTTAATAAATTGATGTTCGTTAACTATTTAGTTTACTGCTTATTTGATTAAATGTTATAAACGTGACAGGCAAATGCTACGTTTGGTACCTGCGACACCCCTATGCTTTCACCTCCACCACCATCTCAATTGCCGCCGACCAGAACATCACAACTGCCCAGCAACAATTCTCCAATAAGCAAATCTCTGCTGCCTCATTTGTTTATATGGCAATTATTTGCCATATTTCTCCTGTTGTGTTCATAACTGCTAAATGATAAGCTCTGTTTGGGCTCCATTTTTGTAATAATACATTTTTTTCTTTCTTATTTGTAATCATACATTTTTTAATAAAATAATATAACAAATAAATTCAAAACTTTTCCTTAATTTTAAACTACACCTTCTCCAAAAAAAATCAATATTTCAAAACACATTTTCCCCAAAATTTTATTTTAATGGATCCCAAAAGTTAAAAAAATATATTAAAAAAAATAATAATAATAATAAAATAGAATAAAAAAAATAAAAAATCAAACTGAAACAACGGGAAACGGGTAAAACCAGTTCCCTGGTAAACCGGTTGCTTCCAAGCTTTTCCTAAGAAATTTTTTTGATATTTCCGGTTTCTTAAATGAAAATGAAAATTTCAGACTGGTTCTCGTCTTTATATACGGTCGCTCTATTTTTTTATGGGAAATGCCAGCTTGACAGAAAAAGTGGTGACCAATGCGGTGACGCACCCTCACAGTGATGGGCCCGAGATGAATAAACAATTCGATTAAAAAAAAAAATTGGCCCCCACCATATTGTGAGTGAGTGTCAGCCCTTCTATCAAAAATTTTTTGTTCTTGTAGCTTAGTCCATTTTTTTATAGGAAAATACTAAATAAACATAATGTTTGACACAACACTCGCAATTGAGACGTGTCCCATGCGAATAAAATAATGCCGACCCCCCCATGCGTGTGTGATGTCAACCGTTGTGTCAACCTCTATGTTCGTGTAGCACAGCCCTTTTTTATAAGATCTTGGTGCTACTATCGCAAACCCAATACAAGATTAGTGCTGATATAAAACTACTTGTAAACCCAAACTAGAAAGTGCGAAGGAATTACCATTACTTTAGAAATAGTAAATGGCTCCTATACACAGACCTAATACAACAGACAAAATGAGGCACTGATCAAAAAGTAAAAGATAAAAACCAACCTTTTATGTATTTATATAATTTATTTGAATGGGAACTCCAAAGGAAACAAGAACGAGCACTTATCCTCAACCTTGACCCAATTATAGAAACAAAATATGTAAATTCCCTACTCTTTAATTGGGCTTCATCGACTTCTCTGATATTATTAAGCATTCTCACTGCAACTCTCCTACAGGTGCTTCATTGAGCCACAAGAAATGAATGAAGTCGTACAACTTTGCACTCACACTAACCTGCCGGGAAAAGGAGAGAGTTTTCATAAAGTCAACTAACATTTCACAAAAGAATGCCATATCAGCCAATAATTATACAGGCTTGAATATATGAAATTTTAATTGTTTCTCAAAGATACATTATGAATTACAGTGTATTTGTCATACCTTGTAAGGTGTTGGGTTCAACCTTCTCATGTGATCAGGCCGCATCTGTCCCAGTTGTTTAATACAGCGTTCTCTGATGAGTTTAATGGATGGCAACTCTTCTCTGTCTTTTCCTTCAGCAAGCAAAAACACGAAGCAACATTTCTCGGTTCAGTAATTAACAAAAGTAGCTTTTGAAATGCTCATGTTATTCACAGTGCATGTTTGGCATGGAATATTACATTGTATTGGGCTTTATAGTAGACAGCATCTTTAAATATGGGGCACCAAAGTTTAAATATGTGAAATTTTTACAGGAACCAGAGAAAAATGTTGCAACATCTTTGTCACCTATGATGCGGATTACTGTTATTCTTAATAACAGGCATGCTTTTTGTAATCATGTGTCGTGGTATATGGGAGTAGGCATGTTAAACAATACCCTTTTATTTCCTTTAAGAAGTTTTAAAAAACACAAAACAAGCAGGTAGAATTTATCTTGAACACTAGAATTTTTCCAATACAGAATCGTCTTTAGGGGTCGATTCTTGTGTGGGAAAAAAAGGAACTGTTGAAGACTTCATGAGGAATATATTTTATAAGAAATCAATTTACTGATCACCCGGAGTTTAGCATTGTCGGCCAACAACACAGTAAATGGACATGTCTAGATGATAGCTGTGGCAAATTATAAAACCAACTACTCTTACCTGATCTACCAGGCCAATAACATTTCAGAAGTTCCTCGACACACTGTGGCACCACATATGCCCTCTTTGATTCATTAAATGGATGGCGACACAAGATTCGTTCCCCTACCTGTGTATCAAAGAAGGTAAATTGATGGGTGAAAAGCATTTCGATTTATGTCAAGTTCTATATCATAATCATGAAGCTCATAGCAATCTAGTAATCGAGTTTAACAAAATCTATAATTTCACCTTCTTAAATCTGTACACTATCATTCATTTCACCTAATCATATATGATATGTTTAGAAGTGCTGCTAATCCTGATAAACTAGACTATTCTGCCATTTAGTCAGCAACAACAATGTCCCTAGTAATTTTTTCTATAGGATTTTAACTTATGACCTCATTGGACGACAGGTGAACATACTAACTTGGTGAAAGGCCGTCACCTCCATATCTAACTCTTGATTGTCAGCAAGTTAAAAGTCAATAGTTCCACAAAAGGCTTGTAGACTTGTAAGCTAGAGATTTGGCCCCCATTTTGGGGAAAAGAATGTATTTTGAAATAGTATTTTTTGGAGAGTGTTTAGTTAAAAAGCAAGAAAAAGTTTTCGATTTACGTGTAAAATTACTTTATTGGAAAATAAGTGGTTGAAAATGAGTTTTGAAAAAATGAATTTTTGATAGAATGGGGCTCAAACATGGGCTCGGTAAATCATTCCCTAGTTCTCTTTAAAGGTAAAACTTTGCCCATAAAAACCTGATAAACGGTACCTATTTTACCAGTTTGCGGGTTAACCTGCCGGTTTGGCAGTTTTTCAATATGCGGTTTTTGTTGGCTTACCAACCCAGTTTAGGGGCTGGTTCCCGGATTAACCGATCGAACCAGCCGGTCTGGGTCATTTTGGTAACATTGATAACATGTTTGCCTTCTTTACAATAGCTCGAACTTTTGAAAGAGGTGGCCCAACATGGTATTTGACGGAAAAGGATCACGAATTCAAAGTCACCTAATTATGAATATTACATGTGACAGGTCTTTGATGAAAATTGAATACAGCATACACGTGATGGGGCATGTTGAATATATAATTATAAAATGAACAAATTTGTCTACTCTTTAACAACTTAAACTTTTAGATGAGGCGGCTCAACAAATAATTTGAGCTTTCTTTTTCTTTTACTTCTTTAATAGGTTATTGAAAAGATTAAGATGTCATGATATACTTCCTTTCTGATGTCTTCTACCAATTGCCATTTCTAACTTATTTCCAATAAATCCCATGCATTGAAGTACAGCAGCAAGGTGTAGAGTTGATATGTTGCTTGCTATTTGGAGAATATGTGCCAATACGTTGTATGTATGCATGCATGCAGCCGCAGTATGTATGTATGTATGTATGTATGTATGTATGTATATGTAACTGTTTTATCGTAAGTGTGTACATCTATTTTACTTCACTCTCTTTCGTGCACTAGAACACTTTGCATTAATGGATTCTTCAAAAACCAAAGATCCTGTTCTGAGTCCCACATCCACTAGGACTCCTGGCTACATATCCTTGAATCCTAGCTTTATATAAAAGAGGATAGAACAAAATTGGAAAATTGAAGAAAATATACATGACACTTATTGCCTAAAAAATCATGCCAAGTCAAATTATGACATTTAACTTATCAAATTATGTATGTATATGTAACTGTTTTATCGTAAGTGTGTACATTTATTTTACTTCACTCTCTTTCGTGCACTAGAACACTTTGCATTAATGGATTCTTCAAAAACCAAAGATCCTGTTCTGAGTCCCACATCCACTAGGACTCCTGGCTACATATCCTTGAATCCTAGCTTTATATAAAAGAGGATAGAACAAAATTGGAAAATTGAAGAAAATATACATGACACTTATTGCCTAAAAAATCATGCCAAGTCAAATTATGACATTTAACTTATCAAATTATTTAAAATTTGGACTTGCTTTTATAGAGGATTCCCTAAAATTGTTGAAAACTAATGACACAATTTCATCATTTGGCTACATTTTAGAAGAGTATCAAAGAATTCAAGGGAGCATCCCAGGTAAATGGAATTCAAGGGAGCATCCCAGGTAAATGAAATTCAGAGAGATTATAAGAATACCTTTGGAGGTGGTTCATTTTCTCCTGTCATTATGTCTACAAGAGGGTAACCTTCTTTTCCATATAATCTGTAACACCTTTTTTTACATGGAATGGAGACCTGCAATCAGAGAAAACCTCAGCATTTGAATTAAAATGCAATTCAAATGTTAAGATGTCACGTGGATCGACGAACCTTTGTAACATCTTCAGAAAGTTTGATGCGAGGTTGATTATTTATCTCGACTAACTTAAAAACAACACCAAGAGCAGGTTGAGCATAGCATGTAACCAAATGAGTTCCGATTCCAAATGCATCAACTTCATGACCCTGTGGCCCAAAAGAAGAGATACATGAATCCAGAGCAGCATAGTGAACATGAGTAGGAAATTGGAAATGAAAAATCAATATGAATCGTGTAAAGAAAAATTGGAAGTTTATCGATCTTCCCAATGTAGAAGAATAAACTCGTGGAAAATACTTATTCTAAGTTAGCTTAGATTTGATCCCAGAAATATAGTACTCACAACCGTGAATAAAGAATTACTGGGGCATATAACAGACTACATATAGAAAAAATATTTGACGAAAAAGGACAAGGCAAAAAATTTGGACCTGACATACATAAGTGCATGTATTCACGTCACCAATTTGTATTTCCTTTTAGTTGTTAATGGCCATATAGGTTATGGCAGATGGTAGCCAAGTCAAATTACCAATCTTCCAGTGAGAAGTAACGTTAGTAAAGTCTCCCCACAAACTAAAAGAAATAAAATACTTTGTTTGAACTTCAAATTCAGAAATACAAAGCCAATGAAAGAAGCTCTACATATTTATTTAATATAAGATTCTAAAATGCTCATTCTGTATACAAAGTTTCACTCTTTTTTTGGTAAATCAAAAGAAACCCAAAAATGATGAAGAGCAAATATATTAATAGGTATATTTTCAACACATTGAACATCTACGATAGGGTATGGATCTCTCTCTCTCTCTCTCTCTCTCTCTCTCTCTCTACACACACACACACACTAAGAACCGGAGATATGTCGTATTAATTCATTGGTGGAAAACAAATTTAATTCAATGTTGGAACTCACAAAATCTTTTTCCACCAATGAATTAATATGACACATTATCAGTGCTTAGGATAAGATGAGTACCGGTGCTCATTAGATCATCTCTCTCTCTCTCTCTCTCTCTCTCTCTCTCTCTATATATATATATATATATATACACATATATATATATATGGAAAGAGCACATTAAATCTAGTGTATTTAGGAAATGTAGACAGGTAAGGAGCTAAGACATTAAATAACAAACTACCGAGCAATATGTTTCAAGTTCCACATTGACTCTGACTTCTTGTCCATTGGTATATTGCATTACGAAGAAATATAGTTAGTTTTTCTACAGACCATAGAATCTGAGAATCGATTGAAAGATTCATATCGCATGGTAGTTTTTTAGCTGAAGTGGATAAAAACAATTCTCTGATTCTCTCAATTCCACCCCTAGAACTCAATAATTATCTTCCAGAGACTAGAGCTGGAAAATGACTTTGTCGGATAATGGCAAGCAATTCACTCCGGTGGTAATGTTATATATACTTCAATAGAACTAGTAAAAGATAACGGGGGAAAAGGGCATGTAGTTCAGCGGCCACCAGAACACAAGTTTATAGAGATAGCACATTTTCACTTGTCCAAGAAAAGAGTTACAGCGGAAGTATCACAACCCACGTGAAAATTACTATTCAATGCCTTTACCTGTTTGTTTAAAGCATCTATTGTTTCTTCATTGAGGTCATTACTAGCTGTGATGTTCATGTTCCCAAAGTCAGGCACTATGAATTCCTTCTCAATAGCCTGAAAGAATTTTCGGGCCTCGCATGAAAGATAGGCAAGATCACCAGAGTCTAATCTAATTCCTACTGCTTTGTACCTGAATAAGAATATTTAGAAAAGAAATCAAAAAATAAGCCAAACTAACTTAAACCAATATCTGTGGAAGTCAAACAGATGGCAATATGTGAAAATATGATTATCCAGACTGGTTATGCAGGTTCAGGTTAAGGTTCAGGCATTAGGGATGAAGCTAGGTGGCTCGCTAACAGAAAGCATACTGAAAAGGTAAACTCCAACAGCATAAAAATAAAAATAAAAAAGAAACTCAATAACGACAAGTTAAAAGATACCACCCACATGGAGATGTTTCTAATAGAAAATCTAAGGGCAGGAAGAATTAAGTCAGAATACACTTCAACTCAGTAAAAAATCTGGAGTTGTTCCTTGCCACGATGACCTTTCAGTAGTTTTCAAGATCACAAGGTCTGTTCAATAATTACATTGTCATTCCACTTTCTAAAATCGCTCTTGCAGTTCTACCTTGAGCTTCTTCGAGTTGCTAAACCTTAAGGTTGACCATAAGCCCCTTCACTCCAGATATCAGAAGTTGCGATTGGCAAAACTAAAATGCATTCATGCCTTATCGCCCCGTCTTCATACTATCTTTAATACTGATAAGGATAACACTGTAAGGAACCCTTTTATTAAACTTTTACATCTATATGCACCCAAAAAATCTGGGGGCATGTAATTTTCTAGGAAAGGTAGAGAAATATTGAAAGATTATACCTCTTCTTTGTATGCACCATATAAATGTACTGATAAAGCAGGCATTTCCTAACCTGATTCATGATTTCCATTCTTTAATCTTTCCCCTTGTCAGTTGCATTAAAATGTTGAAGGTCGCTAGCCAACTTTCACAACTCCCAGGTCTTACTGTCTTAGAATTCTTCAAAAAATAGATAGTGTTTATTCAGGTTTCCATCACTTATTAAAAGGCAAATTGGGAGCGGCCATGGATGATTGTATTAATGAAAACAATGAAAGCTTCAATGACAACCAACTCATCTAAAAGTTTAAGCCCTTAGACAGAGTGATGAGGACATCTATTTTGGGCTAGTTTAGTTTAGTATTTTCTTTGGGCTTGTATTATGTATGTGGGCTGGCCAAGCCTTTTTATTTTGCTTTGGGCTTATATTATGTATTGGGCTGGCCCAAGCCTTTTTATGTTTTGTATTTTGATATATATTCAGCCCTTTGTGTAAGCGGGAGACAAATTCGATGGAATGAAATGATATTTGAGTGTTAAACACGTTCTCTCCCTCCCCCTTCTCCTCTTCTCTTCCTCTTTCCTTCTTCTCTGGTTGTCTATCCTGCTCCTTCTATTGCTTTTTTTTTTTTTTTCAGTTTACTTATTTTCTACATATATACTTGAGCTACATCAAAGTATCAGAGAACTAAACCTGGTTCCAACATCTTCAACTGAAAATTGGAGTCACAGAATTGCCATGGCAGTGAAGAAGAATTTTACTGTGCTGCGGTTCAACACTATCAATCTCTAGCAAATATAATAACCGACAGAGCTCTGTATACACCATATACACAACCTGCCCTACCGTAACAACCACCAAGCTGCAACCATTACTGCAAATAGTCACTCTCTGCAACTGCCGACCTCCATTTACAACACAGTTAAGCCCATGAACCTTTAGCTCATCCTCCCATCATAAATTCACAATCCATAATACACAATTCCCCAGCCCACAAAATAACCTCCACACATCTACAAGGAACCCATATAAATCCACAAAACCACCATCTCGCGCCACTACCCAACTAATACAACCTTTGGCAATGAACTGTTTATTTTGTAGTTAAAATGATTTAGTGCTATATCCTTTTTTAATATTAAATTTAAAATTATTTCTATATTTGTTCGTTAATAATATATAAGACATTGACATTGATTTTTTCCTTTAATTTTTTTGAAATGTCATTTTTTTTTTAAAAAAAATTATTTTGTAAAACGTATCCCCTGTATTCGTATCCAAAATTCAGATCATTTTTAACCGTATCCCCATATCTTAATTTTTATAATGAGAAGAATCTAACTCCTAGATATGTACCCATATCCGACACCCACACCCGAGTCCAAGCAACATAGTCTGCATGTGGATCAGAGAGAGAGAGAGTTCTGTGCTTCTTGGGTTGTTCGGGAGCTCTCATGCAATTCTTGTTTTTGAGAAACCTGGTGGAGTGAGAGGATAATAGTTGAGAATGACTAACAGCCCCAAAAATATTTCTATATATTCTGAGTCTACAGACAGGATCAATACTTAATAAGGTGGAGATAGGCTCACTTCACACAAAAATAAATAAATAAATAATAATAATAATAAAATTCAATTCCCACTTTTAACATAGATAAGATCATTTCCACCACTCAAACGCTAATGAAGGAACAAGTCTCTTGAGCATACCCTAATTCATTTAGAGCCAGAGCAACTGCACAAAAATTAGGAATACCACTTCTCATGACCTGTTAAGAGTATTAATGAAAACCACATTAATGGGAATACAAAGGCCAGAATAAAGTAAAAATTGCATTGAAACTAAACGGAAAGTGACATTTGCATGATGCTTGGAATTGTACGAAGCGTATGAAACATCATCTGGCTACCAATGCATTGGATATACATACATAGCCCCTGTTTGAGCTCCCCATTCTCTAAAAACTCATTTTTCCCCAAACACATTTTCCCAATAAAATAATTTTACAAATAAAACCCAAAACTTTTTCTACCTTTTAACTATACATTCTCCAAAAAAAATCACTATTACAAAATCTGTTTCCAAGAAAAATTGGGCTTCAAGAGATATATAGTAAACAAAAGTAAAGATATTCACATGGGTTCACAATGTATAAATGTCAGTTTCAACCATGTAATGTTTTATCTAGCAAGATGAACTTTGTTTTCTGAAGGACAAAAAATACAAGGTTGGCATAATTGCTCCTAAAAATAGAATCAAGAGTCAAAGAGATTGTGGTAATAAAATGAATAACAAGATTTCAAACAAGTTCAATAAAGAATCACTAATAATGAAAAGATCGCCAAGAAAATTATTGAGATACTCAGTCTACAATATTCTAACTACTTCCAAAGTTCCCAACTAACTAGTAAACATAGTTTCAAGCACTAACTTTAACGTTCTCAAACATTTACAGAACCACTACAGATGAGTGATTGTAATTCTCATTCCAATAGCTTACTCTCCTCGTTGACAAGTCTTTTCAATACTTGTAAGCAGTAAAAAGATGTTATTGGTGAACCGTTTTGTTACAGATAATATCAAAAAATTCAATCACAGGGCTGTAAGTACACAGTTCCATTAGACAAATGCTAGACAGAAAAATCAAATGAGCTATGACAAAGTTGAATGAACTATTGAAAAGTTTTACTTACATCATATGTGTCTACAAGGGCCAAAAAGGTGTTCGGAAAGGCAAGTGCATATGAGATGAAAGCAGCTAACTCACTTTGATTCGTTTCTCCAAATATTCCACCTAATAAATGTGACCACTGAACAGAGTGCAAAAATTTAATGAGCCGCTATTAGATATATGCTTATTTAGAGTATCCAATAAGTTAAAATATTTATACACAGATGCACAAATGCATATATCACAAAATGACAAGAACATCTTCCGATATTGCACTTTATAATGGTCAAATGAATGGTATTAGAGAGACTAAAAAATATTTATGAAATTTATATAACATTACCAAGATAAGATATGTGAAGTTACTTGCACATTACAGCAGTGGATATGGTAGAATTTTCAAATGGAATATGATAAAAGTGGGAAAGAAATCCATAGCAAATTTCTGATAATTGTCATAGAGAATCAATAAACAAACATATGTCTTCTATGTGCATGCATTTACTTGGAATTGATTTCTGATCACAAGAACTCAAATCAGAGTTCATATGAAACGACAAGTACAGGATAAATTGCAAATAATTTCATAGGCATTGAGTCTTTTAGATTCTTCAAAATTTGGAGGTGCAAGGTAAATCCTTAGAGAAGATGCGAAGACTGTGTTTGCAGTTTTAACATGAGTTAATAAATGTCCAAGTGAATAAACTATATTTAGTAGAAGATTACATGTTCTAAATGTCATTTTACCTAATGGTGATGTCTCATAGTCATATCATAGGCTCCCATTTATAGCAGGAAATTGAAGCAATTGGAAAGCATTCTTTGTTGTATTGCTCAGAAAATTTGTACGGTAAATAAAGAAAAGTAACCATGGCCTAATTTACAGCTGTACAGGAAAGCCATTCAAGTAAATCTTAGGAAAAATATAGAATATACATCAAGCAGGAGATATCAATTTACTGAAATAAATTGACTTTTCCTATTGAGGGAAAGAATAATCTTCAAATTGATATACTACAAGAACTAGCGAGATAAAATGTTGACTTGAGGGTATCAACTTTACAAAAGTTATTTAGGGCCATTTAACCATTGGCGGAGCCACATGGGATCATGTAGGGCCAATGACCCCATAGATTTTTCAGATATTTTTATTTTTAGTTTCCCAAAATTTAATTTTCATACTTACCCTCTTTTAGAGTACTGTAACTACACGACTTTTCCCCCCAAAGGCCCAAGTCATCAAATGATTTCCCAATCCTCTCCAATTGATTATTGACCATTGTGGTATTACGGAATTAAATGTTGGAATATCATATTTATTGGAATTGATTGTTGAAATAATGTTGTGTATTATGCCCATGTTTGAGCCACATTCTAGGGAAAAAATGCATTATTCATGTCAAATCAATGGGAAATATGCAGTTAAAAAATAAAGAAAAGTTTTAAATTTGCGTGTAATATTATTTTATTGAAGAATGTGTAGTTGAAATGATATCAAATCACTGTTGAAAAATATATTTTTTTGAAAATAATGTGGATCAAACAAGCCCTATATATTGCTAAAAAGCACCGATACTTGTAAACTTATTACGTACCCGTATCCGATACGTCGATACTTTCCGATACCCTTCAATACGTACCAGATACTTGTTTTTTAATTATTTTATATATTTTTATATTTTTTACGTATCCGATATGTATCCCATACGTATTTTTTAATTATTTTATTTTTTTGTATGATTTTTGATACTTATCCAATACTTCATGATTAAAATGCACATTCACTACAAAATACTGTTTTGAAATTTCTTGTGCAACATTCTTCTTCATCTAGTGTCATACTCTTTTATATACTTTACGAGAATGAATAATATAACTCTATAATGAGTTAAAGAATTGGTTTTCATTCATAGCAATTTGCGTCTTTTATAAAAAAAAATTAGATCTCCATTCAAAAGGAGAATCCAAAATATGGGACATTGTTGGAAACTCTTTCAATACTCTTGAAGGTGTTAGACTGCTTGAAATTGCTAATCTATCACTAGATGAGCCAGAGTTGAATATTGTAATTTTTAATAATAATGAAAAAATTGTTGTTGATGTTGAAGGAAATGAAATTTCTACAATTAATAATTAAGATAAAGTACTTTGGTATTTTATTTATTTTCATTATCATGCTTCTATATTAATATTTTTTAATATTAATAAATTTATGTTGAATTTTATAACACGTATCGGCATATTCTAAGTTTTTCAAAAAAGTCATATCGGCGTATTCATATCGTATCATACCCAAATTAGGTATCAATATCCGTGCTTCTTAGATATATTGTGTTTTGACGGAATATTGGGACTTTGCCTATTGGAAATGATTGTGTTTTTTATAGTTGGAATGGTTTTTTTTTTTCAATAACCGTGAGTGTTTGGACCAGCTTACGCGCACCTTGACAAATCTCACGGGGCCCTGAAGTTTACAGCCAGATACTCACTTCAATAGTTCTAAGGGACTCAAACTGATGACAATTGAAGAACAAACCCAAAACACTGTTGGAATAGTTCATCGGAATTGTTGTAGAAATATAAACATTCATTTTTGTTGTTGAATTCAATGATAATCAGTTATGGAGAGATTCTAAACAAAAATCTCCACTTTCGAGTAAAGAGCAAAATATTAATAAAATGAGCGTTCAAGATAAAGACATTAGAGATCAATGGTTGAATTGTGTACATTGAAGACAATATATTTAACAATACTAATAACAATAATATTATACCGCATTTTCAAAGTATGATAATGCATAAGCAATGATTGTAGTAATGTATTAAAACATTTTTATTGTTATAATGTTGTTTCAAAAATATTTAGCAAGCTAAACTTTGCTCCTGTGATGAAAAAAGAAACTCTTCCTTATTGCCCCACCCAAATAAAGAAATTGGAGAAGGGATTTAAAATTGGAAATGTAATAGAAAACTCGCCCTATTGAATATATTAAATGTGGGGATTTTATTGCTTTTAGATCTCTCAATGGTTATCAAAAGTGTTAATAAATCAAAAATATTTCAAACAAAATAATATTTATTCTCCATATTATTTTTGAACAAAATCATTTATATTCTCCATTAATATTTGCAAATAGACAGAAACAATTTTTTTATTTATATGTATTTCCCAATTATAAATGTTATAAAATTTACTAAACTAAGGCACTAATGGAGCTAAGGAGAATATAGACATGTTAATCAATACAGCACGCATAGGACAAGAAATATTTTGACTATTAATCAATACAACAATGTGTGCACTTCCACACCATTGTATTAAGTAATGACTAAATTTGAATTAGCTGACTCCAATGAAACGAAACAGCCACTGAAATGAGATTTTTAGGTAAGAAATGGTTACATTTACTGACCAGAGGACCTAGATCCACAACTCCCACAATTTGCTTTTAATCATATGAAGTATTTAGGGAAAATGGATTCAATTACAACTTATGAACATTACTATTGGCTGCAGTGCACAAAAATATACATCAACCTTTGCATTTATTGCCTAATTTCATCAAGGAAGAAATGGGAAATGCAAATTGAAGGTCTAGCCAAAGCAGAAGTAAAACTTGATAAGGGAAATGGTAACTGGAAATTGCAAACTTAAAAAAACCAATTCAAACTTTGATGCATTAGGGATAATACAGTTACTAGGTATCAAGTTCACCAAGTAGCAGAGCATACAGAGGCAAAACATGATGAGAAAAATTGCTAAAATTATCGGTGTGTCAAAGATAAAACATATAGCTAAGCAGTAAAGGCGAGGGTGAAACTGACAACACCTTTAATTTGCTTAACCATGCCTGCACCAAACTAACAAAATCCTCACAAGCATTTGAGCAGTCACAACTTTGAAGCGACTTGTCAATGATCTCATCTGGACTCTGCCAATTGCAGGAGCAATTAAGATAATGGACAAAACTAGGAATAAATGAACACAAAAATAGATAAAGGGGAAATGGAAAATTAGTATACAAAACATTGACACTAGATGCCAAGCAAAAGCCTGCTCACTACCTCCGGCTTTTGCTACCAAAATGTGAGGGCATGTAAATAGTACTTGGAAAACATAATAAGTCGCTGACAAATTATTAATAATTGCAGAACAGCTAGAGAACACCCACCAAACCTCTACTTCATTCAAAGTGCAGATGGAACTTCAAGTAAAATGCTCAGATAAAGCAGAATAGGTTTGAAACATATTCAACCAGATAACCGTCTCTACATAAATAAAGAACTCAGACTCTTTCTTACCCAAGAAACTGATGCAGAAATAGAATAGCATGTCCTTATAATGAATGTCATCATAAAAATAAAGAACTTATGTATCCAATGTAACAGTTCTTTGGTAAGTAAACAATTCTAGACTAAGAGCTTGTTTAGGAAAGATTTTAAGAAAGGAAAAATAATCTTTTGGAGAATGTGTGGTTAAAAATAGGGAAAGTTATGGGTCCTATAGAATGTGTTGTTGAAAATGATTTTGGGAAAAATTTCTCCCAAACAAGCTCTAATACTGGAGCCAAAGAAAATGCACTGCTTCATCAGAATGACAC